TTTTTTTTAAGAGGACAAGAGCGGCGAGGTCTATCGCGATAGCTTAATTTCTCTATCGAGTAAAAGTTATATCGCGATACATATCGTTATCGTTCTATCGCCCAGCTCTACTTTGAGGTACAGACCATCCACATTTGTACTTCTGTTTTGGTGAGTGAAACTTTTCAGTTTCATTAGTCTGTTATTTAGTACCCACCAGCAGCTACTTGTATTTGTACACTGTATCCATATAGGTTTCTGGATGTAGCTTGATAAACTTGGCACTCCACCCTTTCATTCGCGGTCACTTGTGGCTCCCAAAAAAAAAAAAAAAAAAAAAAAAAAAAAAAAAAAAATACAAATGGCAGCTCCCAAAGCACTTATATTAAGGCTTTGAAATCTTGACTATTGTTGCAACTATACTCCTACCAGCCACTGACTGAAAGCAGCAGCCTATAAACATTAAGTTTACTGTGACAATGCAAAACTCAAAACCAAGTTAGAATTTTTTTATTGTTAAACACGTCTTCAAACCAGAGGCTCTGTTCAGAAGCATTACCATGCAGCAGTCCCTGCTGAGAGTCTGTTGGTTGCACCCTAAGTTGATTAGTGGCTAATTTGAAGTCTGCTTGCTTGTTTGACTGTCTGGATATAAACAGGCTGTGCTGATGCAGATCCTCTTATCCACAGATTAATCATCACAACTGGCATCCTGTGCATCCTGACCTCTTCTCAACCCCACCACCACCATGGGGCAACCACAGCAAGACAGAATTTGGCTGGCCCTCCCCCTAACACCTTTTAACCCCTGATAGTGTTTCTATTGTCCAAGTCCAGACAGAAGTTGGGAATTACACAGTGTGACAGAAAACACTTTCTCATTCTTCCTGTTCATGACCAAAGCTTACCCTGTGGAGGTTGTCTAGCCTCTTTGAGTGTAGCTGAGAATTGGAAGGATGCCTCATAGAAACCACTTTCTAGTCTAAAAGCATTAGTTACTGTTCAAAACATTAGATAGTGAAATCCACTGTATCAGCGGTCCCCAACCTTTTTTGCGCCACGGACCGGTTTATGCCCGACAATATTTTCATGGACCGGCCTTTAAGGTGTCGCGGATAAATACAACAAAATAAAACTAGTACCGGTATCGAAAAAAAGAAAATTTATTCATAACACACGTGAAAAGACCAAGGAAAACCGAGTAAACGATAAAAATGATAACAAAATAACGCTGAAAACCGATAAAAACCCTGAAAACTATACATTTCACACCTGAGCCTCAACTCTCGCGGCCCGGTACCAAATAACTCACGGACCGGTACTGGTCCGAGCCCCGGGGGGTTGGGGACCGCTGCACTATATATAACAACCAAGACTTTAGGTCAGCCATTAGTATATCAAAGCTTTAAGATATAGTTCGAATTTATAATATAGAAGATCTGGCGATGGCATGTGCCATAACACAATAACTTCAGTAAAGTCAGCGTTTCCAGACGCTACTATCACAACACTCTTAACGCCCTGCCACCACTCTCCCTCTGCACCTCCAGTTCTCTCACAAAGTTTTCCTGCAGCATGGAGGGATACAGCTCAGCTACTGTCACCCTGTAAGAATTGATCAATTGATATGAACTGCATGTGTGGCAACATCTGACAAAGCTCTTGTGACTCATCGAGTAATGCGACCGACTAGCCAATAGGTGGCACGTCATATTTTTGGGATCACTTGAAACCCTAGTCGAGTAGGTACTAAAAATGTACCTGGTACCAGGTACTATCACCCTATTGGAAAAGGGTGATAAAACAATTGTCTTATACAGTTGAAAAAAAAATATTTTAGTTTGTATGAGGTGGTGCTGTGTAGGGGTGGGCGATATAAACGATATACGATAGAAACTATATAAATTTGGCCAACGATAGAGATTTTGACTATATCACTCTATCGCGATGATGTCGTCAAGCTGCGCCTGTTTTGGTCGAAAGCATCGCAGCGGCTAATACCATTATCATCTGCAAATTATGCGACAGTCATAGCAAAGAGATGAAGCACTTTTGAAATATGGGGAAAGCCAAAAACTGCGCTTCCTCCACTTCCGTAACATTGATTCATTAATGCTGAATTCTCTCGCAGCTGTTCTATTCCCATGTTGTTGCAGTATATTAATAACTAACCTCGTATTGTGGATGAATAATCTCAGTTGTTCTCCTGACTGAAGTTTGGCCCGTGTATAGCATCCTGCTATGCGATTGCATTTGTCCCTAACCACCAGAATCCCTCACATTAACTTTTATCGAGTGGAAAAAAAGTTGGCGTTCATCCTCCAGCTTCACTGAGCCAATTTCTAACATTCAAAGAGCTCAAGCAAGAACAAGTGTTGTGAAAAATGAAATGTGTCCACTGCAGCCACTGTCTGTGCTTTTCATGCATTAATTTTTCATCCACAAAATTTCTTTCACAGTTTCCCTGTTCCCAGTAAACTCCACTATTGCTCCCTTTTTCATTTTGGCCCACCTGTCAGCCAATCAACATTGGACAATTGCTTACATCATTCAATTCTAGTGACACACAGTCAGGATCCTAGAACGTGCATGGGAGTGCATTTCGGGTGGGGGAAATCTCATCTCCTCCTTCTGTCTGACCAAAAAGTATACGTGGACACAGACATTTGCAGGATTAGTGAGTCACAAAGACACAATACTGGTAGCACATATGAAAAGTTTTACTACTGCACACGTTAAGGACTGCTATGAATTGTTAACTTGGCAGTTGCTGTGTGTTCGAATAGGTATTCCAAATTCAATTTCCAACGAGGAACTCAGGAATTACAACTTATTCAGGAATGCACCGCAAGTCAGACTTGAGGGGGCATTCCAGCTGAAAATTCTATTAGAAACTGAGAAAATCTGACTACAAATGAAACAATCAATTTGGAAGTGACCTCACTCACAGTTCTGACATCCAACTTCAGAGGTAAATATGGCAGCATTTAACCAGGCAAGTATTAAGAACCAATTCTTATTGTACTTACAGCGATCTGGCAAATGGAAAAGCTTCTTAGGGAAATGTAGGTAGACTAAAAAGAAAACTAATTTAACACCAACACATACTGGAGAACACACACCTGTAAAACTTTGTTAAATTATCTAATCACAAAAAATTACTTTCGCATAGACTGTACTGATTTTGTTGAAACCAACTTGCCGAAACATAGCTTTTCCAATAAGGAGTGGATACCTGAGACAAGATTAAAAGAATGTAAGCTCTCCATAAAGCATTTCTTAAACCAGAAAGACAGCAATTGAAACATGGACATTTATTACTCAGTAATTCGGCAAAGTTCGCTTGACATGATTGAAACCTACAGAACAGCTGCCACGCTCACAATATGGTGAAACAGTTACAGTACACCAACATAATAAAAGTTACACATCACATAACAGTTACACAGCAAACTGTTAAGAGAAGTGACCATTAGGTAAATAAAACAAAACAATAATATAAAAATAAATGTTGATGTAGTAACACAAGAAATCAACATTTAAATGTTCCCATGTTGAATTCAAACTTTTATACTTTATATATACGCAATGTTAAAAAGTCGGGCAAAGAAAGCTTTGTTATGACTAATGGAAAACAAACACGTTCAGCCATATCCGAGAGAGCTAATCGTATGACCGCAATTTTTATTATTTGACGAGCCATACGGAGTCGAACTATTCACACAAACCAACTTAAGAGATATAGAACAACTATGTTATTGGAAGCGATCAGCCTTAAGAGTTAGCTGTCCAGTTGGGTACATACAGTTTTATAGTCGAGTAGTAGCTTCACTTCCAGATTCGCTAATGTAAAGCATTGGCCGATTTCAGGCCGATAAAACGAAATAAAACTCAAAGAAATCTCCATAATCCCTCAACCTCAGACTCGGCTGCTTTCAATTAAGTCATACAATTGTTTGTCGCTCAATATAAAAGTAATTTCATGTACCGAAACCCGGAAAGCCGGCTAATGTTAGCCGATTAGATAGCCTTAGCACCACGTTAGCTTTCAAAAGCAAGCTGACTTTAACAACAAAAAAGCTTTCTCCCTACTAACAACTGAAGCGTCTGGTCCAAAAATGTTTTTTTTAACTATTCAAATCATTTATATCTGTATTTTATGCTTGCTTTGTCAACCAACTATACATGCGGCCTCGGACTTCTAAAGGGAAACCACCGGACTCGAGTTCCACGAGAGCCGAGAGGCCACGATGAAACAGCGGACACAAAACTCAAGCGACAACGGCCTCGATCTTCAGGTCACCAGCAGAACGATTCACTCACCGTTTTTGCTCTTTTCGACAGAGAGACGATCGACAAGTGTATGAATAATTCTTCAGGGTTCAAATACAGGGTATAGAGCCGTTTGTGTCGGGAGTTACGTCAAGGTGTTTCCATTTCTTCTCAAAGAGTCTTAAGAGGTCAGAGTGGACGGCGGCCCGCAAAACACAACAGACCGGACTGAAATGGAGAGCTGAGGCGATTGAGCCCGCTGCCTTCAGAGGTCACTATCTGCCTCGTAAATGCCAATGTTCAAAAGCTATTCGCTTCATTTTTTTCATTAATATTCTTAATTATTCTCAAAAATGTATATATCACGACTTGTAAATCACGAGCTCTCACATAAATATCATTTTAAAAAAATAATATATAACACACTGAATATTAGCACGGCGTGGATTTAAATTTACAGATGTCCCCAAACAGCTCCCACATCTCCCTTAAACTTTAATTTGTACTTATGTAGAGCCACGAAGTAGCATGTGCAAGTGGCCGTTTGCCACTGTCCCTGCATCAACAGCCATGTATAGTTAGATTACTAGAGGTACACATCAGAAGCGTTTGCAGTTACAACTTAACTAAGGTGTTGATGTAATGCAGAAGTATAAATATATAAAAGTAAAGCAGAAGTACAAATAGAAAAGTAAAAGTAAATATATAAAAGTAAGTATAAATATTTATAGGTATTCTAGCTGTAAGGGCCAATATATTTTCCTATATTTTCCAAAGTTTGTTCATAACAAACACCATGTTTGAGCTGTTCATAAGTTCACATGGCAACAGATCTGTGGCCATATGTCTTGGACACTTGGGTAAAAAGAGCTTCTATGCTATCAACTGATCACCACCTGGTGGTGAATTGGTGGCGGGGGAAGATGCTGGCCAGACATGGCATACTCAAAGTATATTGAGCAAGCATTGGGGACATCTGGCAGAGGCCCCAGTCCTCCAGATCTTCAATTCCCAGCTCTGACAAGACTTCAATTGCATTCTGAGGGAGGGTGGGGACAGTGAGTCTGAGTGGACCATGTTCTGCATCTGTATTGTTGAGGCAACTGCAAAATGCTGTGACTGCAAGGGCATTGGTGCCTGTTGTGGCAGTAATCCCAGAACCAGAAGTTCAAGGGAGCTATCAGGTTGAAAAAGAAGTCTTATCATGCTTGGTTAGCCTGTGGGACTCCAGAAGCAGCTGACAGACCAGCAGGTCAAGCGGAGTGTAGCTGACCCAAAAACTCGGGTGTGGGAGGAGTTGGTTAGACCACTGAACAAGACTTTTGGTCTCAAAGCGGTGGTGGGATGTCACTGACCTCAACTGAGGACATAGGTAAGGCAGTGGAAGGAACACTTAGGGAATACCTCAATCCCACTGTCACGTTTTCTGTATGGAAGAAGAGTGAGGCTGAGGGGGATGACTCGCTTATCACTTGAGGTGAGGTCACTGATTGAGTTGAACAACTGCTCCGTGGTAGGGTAGCTGGGCTGGATGAGATTCACCCTGGATGTTGCGGGGTTACCCTAGCTGACATGTCTCTGCAATGTTGCATGGAGGTCTGGTGGTGGATTAGATTATATTGCACCAATTCATTACTAGTGTGCATAGGAATTTGTCCAATCAGTCTGCATGTTTTTTGTGGACCTGGAAAATCTATTTGACTGCATATCTCAGGACATCCTGTGTAGGTATTTAGGGAGTATGGAATGTCTGGCCAGTTGTTACTGGCCATTCGGTTCCTGTACAACTGCAGCAAGAGCTTGGTTTGTATTGAGTACAGTAATTTAGATTCATTTCCAGTGTGTGTTGGTTTCTGCCAGGGCTGCCCTTTGTCACAGATTCATAGTTTTTATGAACAGAATATTTAGACATAGCCAGATGGTGGAGTCTCCAATTTGGTGGGCTTTGTTGAAAAACATCTTTGTTTTTTGCAGATAATGTGCTTCTGTTGTCTTCATTAGCTTGTGACCTCCAGATTGCTCTGGGATAGTTACTTTTGTAACCTGCTATAATGTGGATTTTATACCAGGTTTTCGTGGTCAAGAGAACTGAAAGTGGAGGAGTCAGTTTAGCAGTTAAGACACCTTCAAACTCTTATCTATGGTCCAACATGTGGGTAGGGACAGAAGGAACGATTGGCAGAAATTAGCTTCCTCCAAGGGGTGTCTGGGCTCTCCCTTTTGGAGATGATCTTGGTCATTTGAGAGAGCCTCAGATAGGATAAACAAACTTAAAATTGCTCAGCCTATTATGAAAAGTGAGTTTACTACCCTGAATACATCAACAGCCTGTGCGAGTTTTGTAATAAACTCTTCTGCTTTCAGTGGAGGCTCTATTTGTTACAGTAATATAGCAGTATTACTGAGCAACAACACACATGACCTTGTTCTAACAGTGTGAGAACTCAGTGAAAAGCTATAGGATGGAGCCAAACTGCTGGCACTATGATGACGTGACAACTTCCCTAATCACTGCATATTTGCAATTATCATAGGCATTACTTAAGTTTTAGGCAGTGTTGGGAAGGTTACTTTTAAAATGTATTCCATTACAGAATACATGCCCCGAAATGTAATCTGTAACGTATTACGTTACTCAATGAGAGTAACGTATTCTGAATACTTTGGATTACTTAATATATTATCATGCTGTTTACAACTACGTGAATGTACTATTGCTGTGATTTATTACTGTTACTGAAGGTCCGCGGCTCCGAACCGTAGTAAAGGGACCTCTGGCTAATACGTCGGGCTCGTAGCCGAAAACTAGCTTTACTTTGTTGTCTGGGTCAACTTTGCTAGCGAGAGACAGAGAGAGGCATTGAAAGGCTGCTCCAACGGAACTTATTGTTTCGGAGGAAAACACGAACAAAGCGTACAGTCGAGTCTTAATAGCTTACTTACAACTGGGCTCGTCAGGCACTCTTCTTGGCTGCAGTGGTTATTATTATATTTACATGCTTCCAGCTCCCGTTTTTGCTCGATGACAACTCGTACTTCCTTTTTCTCCCTCCCTCATAGACAAATAACGGGTATGGCAGTCCATTCTCCCTGCAGCACGGACTACACTGCCTATGATGCTACATTCTTTAGAGCTATACCTGTAGCGTTCCAACAACAAAAAGGCCTCTCTCACCCAGGAAACACGCAGAGAGAGAGCGTCACCCTGTAACCATGGCAACTGTAACGCTGCCGCCTGGAACAACAGAACGTAGCTGTCAAACAAAACCCAAACAGTCCTGACCCGCGACAATATGAAACAGGAAAGTACCGCAGTGTAATCCATTTATTTCAACAAAGTAACTGTATTCTAAATACCACCTTTATAAACGGTAACTGTAACGGAATACAGTTACTCATATTTTGTATTTTAAATACGTAACGGCGGTACATGTATTCCGTTACTCCCCAACACTGGTTTTAGGTGCTCTGTATGTACATAAGACAATAAAAGACAAACATACCTACAGGAAGGCAGGATGGAATCACAAGGCACTATAGAAATCAAGGCACTTTGTATTGTAAGGTAAAAACCTTACAAAAATACAAAGAAAACAGAGAAAACCCCAACAATTATAGGACTCTCTTTAAGCAAGTGCTTTGGTGAGAGTGGGAAGGAAAAACTCCCTTTTAACGTGAAGAAACCTCCAGCAGAACCAGGTTCAGGGAGGGGCGGCCATCTGCCGCGCCAGGTTGGGGGTGAGTAGATGAAGACATGACAAAGACATGCTGTGGAAGAGAGACAGGGATTAATAATAACATGTAATTAAATGCAGAGAGGTGTGTAAATACATAGCTCCACGGCGGGTGTTGCAGTATGGGGAAAACCGATTATACACAGGAAAGGGTTGGTGGTGTACCATGGGCTTTTGTTTACAACTACGCTTCCTCCTCACTGTTACCTAGCCATCCTGTTTTCCCTTGGGACAATCTGCTGGGGGAGAGCCAGCAGATTGCTACCTTTGGCTGCTCCAGCTAGAGGGGCCTAGCTACGGGTTTTTCAAGGGTGCGAAGCCGGTTCAAAAAGTGATTGCAGGAATTTAAGCTGTTAGAAATTACTTGTTGACCTAAATTCTGTCAAAAACAGATCAATCATATCTCTCAGGAAGAATGTCAAGTAATTTGGAGCCAGTAAAAGCATTCCTATCATAAAATAGCTGCTGCAACCAGTTTTTGTTAAAGAGACCAATTTATCCTGGTACAATGACATTAAAACTAGATGATAGTAGTTCTATAAAAGTATTTGAAGTGACCAAAAAGGACTGGACTGACGACAATATAGGTACAAATACGCAGAGTCATGAAGATACTTCAAAAACAGGTATTCTTTTTAATTTGATCTACAATCCCTTCATGAATCATGTTCACTAGAGTTACTAATATTAGTAAAGACAGTAGACGTTAAAAACACATAATGACATCAGAAATCACTTTTTGGCCCAACACTGGGTCTCCAGAGCTCCAGAGAGGAGTTACTAAACACACTGAGCAGGAAAGCGCAGGAGGGAAAGAGGAAGAGGCCATGCTGCAGGTAAATCAAATAAGACGTTATCAGTAAGTTGTTAATTAAATGGGCTACACAAAAAGCGGTAAAGAGAGCCAACTTGAAAGAGAATCACCTTTGAGTTAACTTTTTATTTCAAAGCTGCGCTATTACACTTTACACAGAGCCACTTTAATGTCATCTGATATTTGCTGTGCTGTTTTTAACCACATTTAGTAAATCGTAATTGTTTTTGGTTCTTTTGTAAATTGACTTGTTATATGTGTAATATTACTTTATATTTTGGTTTAAATGTATCATGTAGAAAATTCCAGTATTTATTTTCAGATGTTTTTGTCTTTTTTTAAAAAATGTGTTTGGTCATATTTTATGCATTGCACTATGTACATTCTACTTGTTCTGTCTGCTGGGTTGAGTTTATCTATTGGAAAAGCAATGGTATTTCTTAACCGTAAGATATATTGCCTTACTACTACCGTACTTTGAACTCCGATGATTAGGATGTAGATCTTGAAATGCACCTTCTTTAACAGTTATTTCTGCTGGTAGGGTCAAGTGATTGAATTATGCTGTGGTCCTTTTACCAAATGTCTGAGCGGTACTCAAATTTAGATTGAATTCATGACTCAGTTCTTTGGAGGACATGATCATTTGGAAGGTTTACATTTACCATCTTTAAACCCTTCATAGTCAGTTTTCTAAACCATGAAAACCTAAA